GAGCTTTGTATAGAATTTGGCATTTGAACAGGACTCTTTGAGACAGTTCCATGACTACTGGGCTCTCCATATGAGCCTGGAGGTTCCTTGGATCCTGGTCAGTTAGTTAACACATAATATGTAACATGTCAGCTTTCTTATCTGCAAATGGGGTGAATGATGGAGTAGATAAGAGAACTGAGTGAGAAAATCTATGTAACGTGTGGCATGGTGCTTAGTGAGAACTTATGGTAACATACTGTCTGTGAAAGAGGAGTGTTCTGCCACACCTCAGGAAGGTGGAGAAGCAGTGCTCTTCCTCTTGTGAACAATGCAAACATCCAGATAATGGTTTTAGCAGGAAAGGTCCAATATGTGGATTTTGCTTTTCAGGTTACTTATACCACCTGATAAAACTTTCCTGGCTTTATTTTTTCAAAACGCCTGAATATAATTCACTTTTGTGGAGCTGGAGAGATGGCTCAGTGGTTAAGAGCAATGGCTGCTGTTCAGGTCCAGGGTTCAATTCCCAACAACCACATGGTGGCTCACAATCATCTATACTGAGATGGGGTGCCCTCTTCTGGCATGCAGGTATACATGCAGGCAGAACACTGTATACATAATAAATAAATAATTTTTTTTAAAAAGAATTCAGTTTTATGGATGTGTCACAGTTTATTTGACCTAATCACTATTCAGTACATTGACATGATTATCTTCCACTCACGCAACGTTGAAGCAGGTGTTTGTAGCTGGCATTTCACTCATGTTAATTTGTCTTCACAGTATATTTCTAGGAGTAGCAAAGTTTTCAAAGAATGAATTCTGTGATTTTTTTTTTTTTGTTAATTTTATTTTTATTTTTGTGTATGAGAGTCTTTGTTTTGAAATAATTTCAGTGTTAGTAGACAGGTTTTGAGCACAAAGGATTTCCCTATACTATTCATCCAAATTCTCCAGAATCAATTTTCTAAGTGATTCACAGGCACACCCCTTTCACTCTAATATTCCCATGCACATTTCTAGAAGTAACGGTTGTCCTTCTGTGTAACCATGTAAATAAGTCGTTAAACATTAGGAAATTAAATTTGACTAATGTTATGTACTCTGCAAACCTTATTCAGAATCACCATTTGTCAGTAAGATGCTTGGTAGGGAGAGAAAAGTACGTATGTAATTGTTTTCTGCTTTTAAGACAGTGTGCCATATAAGCCGTGTAGCTCTGAACTGTAGCCAGTTACGACTTCAGGTCGTCCCTGTCCCCACATCCCCGTGCTGAGGTTACAGGTGTGTACCACCACAGTGGACTATTTTGTGCATAATTTTGAAAATTTAATAGGTATTTACAATTTGCTTTATTAGGCTGAAGGATTTATTTGGAATACTTACTTAACAGAGTTTTAAAGAGATTGTTACCAAAATTTTAGGACTGTTAAGCCAAACATGGTACCCTGTTGTATTTCAATTTTAATGTATGTTTTCTTTTAAGGGCCAGGTGAAAGCACTGCCCTCCATGTGAAGACGCACCTGCATGTCTATGTTGTATTAATCCTTGTTTAATGGCCCTTGTACTTTCAAAATGATATTTTCTCACCTGTTTTTGTGGAACACATTCTTAGTATGCCTTTTTCTTTTTATCTATTTGAAAAAAAATGTTTCCTGTTTATGAAACTAAGATTTTCAAACAGTTCTGCATTTTGGAGTTTGTTATTTTTACACTTCAAGAATGTGACAGAAGCATGGCTTTCTCTTTACAATTTTTAAATTACATTTGTGTGAGTGTGTGTGTGTTGCTTGTGCAACAGTGTACTTGTGTGTGAGAGCTTGTACAACAGAGTGCTTGTGGAGTTGCTTCTTTACGCCCCCTGAGTCCCAGCGATTGATTTGGGATTATTTGGTGTGGTCACAGGCACTTTCCTCAGTGTGCCATCTCCCTGGCCCCGAGCTGCCTCCTTTGCCTCGTGCCTTCATGCCCTTGAAAGCACTCATTTGTTGGATAAACAGCGCTGGATTACAGTGCCGTTTATCCGCGTCGCCCTCCAGATCCGCGTGGGTCTTCTGGAGACTGCTCTCCCCACCTCTGTGTTGTTCCGTTGCTCTCCCCTGTTCCGTTCTGGGTTAATAAGGCATATTCAGCTTTTCCTGGCTTTAGATGTAGAGTAGATGCCGAGTTTTAGAAAATCAATTTTCATGTTGAAGAATGTGATTACTCTCCCAAATATGCGAACATATGTGAGGAGGAAAACACCTGCCCAGGTCAGGGAGGTTACCTAACCAGAATGCAGAGCTTGCTCTCTGGGTCTTTCTACTTGTTGGAACTGGAAATCTGGATTCAGTTTTTCTTTTTTTGGCCACACATACATACATATTATATTATGAAACAGTCTCGATGCTGCTAGTCTGGAGTCTCTGTTTCAGTCTATCCCTGGAAATAATTGTAACTTGACAGTTTAATATCATGTCATCTTTTTTATCTAGGTACATAGTTTTTATGTTTACAAACAATCTGATTTCTAGGGGAACATTCGTATCTAGCTAATAGATACTACAGTTCTGCTACTATTTCTACTTCCCTTTCTTACTCTCTCCCTATTTTTTTAATCTGAATTATTATTGCAAAGAACATTATTAGAAAAAAATGTCTTTTATTTTTTTTGGCATCTATGGAAAACTCTTTGTATTTTCTGATAATAAAAAGGAGATAAGAAACCTCTTTTTTCTTGTACACACACACACACGTTGAAACCAGTTTGAGTTGAAATTTCATTTACCTGGTAAAGTCTGTTTAGTTTTATGTGTGTTCTTTACCTGAATTATCTTGTTATTGCTGTGAATATCGTTTGATTTCACAGATAAATCTAACTGAAAATACTAAAAGTGGGGCTAGCAACATGGCTCATTGGGTGCAAATGTGTACTGCTTTTTCAGGCGACCCAAGTTCTGCTCCCGACACCCACGTGCTGCCTGTAATTGTGGCTCCATGGCCTCAGGCACACTCTTCTGGTCTCTGGGCACGGCGCTTCACGTACAACTTTCTGCCCCATATATACACGTAATTAAAATATCTTCAAAAAGAAAATATTTAAAATAAAAATTGTTAATAGGTTTTATTGAAAGTTTTTGGTTTTAATAGATCATTTGTTTCTATCCATTGCCATTTTTTTTTTTTTCTTCTAGCAATACTTTTGAACTAGGTTCAGAACCACATACTAGTATCGATAGTTGTCAAAGACAGAATCTTCTGATTTGGTCAGTGAATTCCCCATATTTATACATGCTCTGATTTACCTTAACTATTAATTCCTGTTGTACGTTAGAGCTTGTTATTTCATAATTTGCATGAGTTTCTGTTTTTTTGTTTAAGATGCTCAAAAAAGACTTAAGCATCTTTCCATTCTTGTCCTTCAGACTGATCATGGGGTCATTTTTAAACAAATATTTTCATGAGGTCCCATTTATTGATTGTTGCTCTTAGAGCCTGTGCTGTTGGTGTGCTGTTCAGGAAGTTGTCTCCTGAGCCAATGAGTTCAAGGCTCTTCCCCACTATTTCTTCTAACAGATTTAGTGTGTTTGGTTTTATGTTGAGGTCTTTGATCCACTTAGACTTCAGTTTTGTGCAGGGTGATAATTATGTATTTATTTGCATTTTTCTACATGTAGGCATCCAGTTGGACCAGCACCATTTGTTGAAGATGCTATCTTGTTTCCATTGTATGGTTTTGGCATCTTTGTCAAAAATCAAGTATCCGTAGGTGTGTGGGTTTATTTCTGGGTCTTCTTCTTGATTCCATTGATCCACCATTCTGTTTCTATGCCAGTAGCATGCAGTTTTTATTACTGTTGTTCTACAGCATAGCTTGAGATCAGGGATGGAGATACCTCCAGAAGATCTTTTATTGTACAGGATTGTTTTAGCTATTCTGGGGTTTCTTATTATTCCATATGAAATTGAGAATTTTTCTTTCAAGGTCTGGTAATTTGATGGGAATTGCATTGAATATGTAGATTGCGTTTGGTAAGATGGCCATTTTTACTATGTTAATCCTGCTGATGTGTGAGCATGGGAGATCTTTCCATCTTCTGATATCTTCTTCTGTTTCTTCTTTAGAGACTTGAAGTTTTTTTCATATAAGTCTTTCACTTGCTTGGTCACATCAAGGGACTTTATCTCTTTTTTGGCAGTTGTGAAGGGTCTTGTTTCCCTAATTTCTTTCTCGGATCATTTTTCTTTTGTATACAGGAGGGCTACTGATTTTTTTTTTTTTTTTTTTTTTGTTAATTTTGTATCCATTAGTTGAGAGTTTCATATGGTGTGCTTTGAATCATGCTCACCCCCTTCCCTACCTCTGCCCAGAACTGCCCTCCCCTTTTCCTCTCCACTGAGCTTTGTGTCTAGTTTTTAATTATTATTTAAGGAAAAGTGTCTCTCCCTCTCCCCGCAGTTAACAGTTGCCAACAGCTCCATGGCTGAGGGGTAGGATTTCCTAACTTCTGTCTCCGAGCTAGGATTTGGTTTGGCTTGGGCTTGTACAGATTTTGATGCACCTGCTGACTTGGTGTGTATAGCCGCTGTGCTGTGTCCAGAACACACAGTTTCCTTATGGGTAATCCCCGTCTTACACTCGTTCCATGTAAGTATACACTTTTACACTCTGCTTCCGGAATCCTGGAATCACTTGGGGTGCACTTCCACTTAGGGCTAAGCAGTCTTCAATCTCTTACTCTGCACTCATGGAGTCATTTGCTCACACCTTATTTCACTCTCGTCCAAGCTGAACTGTGATCTGTGAACCCTGATTTGCACACTCCTGCCTGGTCAGTTAACTGCTTTAAGTGAGGCATTATGAATTGCATCCTCATGGAATCTTCGGGCGTTCCTGACAGAAAGCTTAGCACTTTCCACTGATTCAGTGAGCTGCCTTAGCCTGCCTCCCAGAAGGATAGGACACTGCAGGACCTTCATGTGGTACTGTGGTTTCTAGGCCATCTAGACTGTTCTCTCTTCCATGTCGCTGCAGGCTCCATTCGTGAGGAGAATGGGGTACGGTGGCACGTGTGTCCCTACTGCACAAAGGAGTTCCGGAAGCCGAGTGACCTCGTGCGCCACATCCGCATCCACACCCATGAGAAGCCCTTCAAATGTCCACAGTGTTTCCGGGCCTTTGCCGTGAAGAGTACCCTGACTGCTCACATTAAAACTCACACTGGCATCAAGGCGTTCAAGTGCCAGTACTGCATGAAGAGCTTTTCCACCTCAGGGAGCCTCAAGGTGCACATCCGTCTACACACAGGTGTGCAGATCTGCTTCTGGGTGTAGAAGGGTGGTGGCTGAACCCTCAAAGGTCTTCCTTCCCCTTCCTCTTGTTGGTTGTGACCTCAGTGCTCATGGAACCAAGTCTATGGTGGGAAAGGATTAGGAAGTAATAGTTATAAATGAACACTTATTTGCAGTGGGTGAAGAGATTCCTGTGGGAGGAAGTATACAGTTCTAACTGAAACATTTCTGTTACTTCCTCGACCCCAAGCTCCATATTGATTGGCAGTCATGAATCTATGGCTGTTGAGGAAGCTACAATTGGCTCTTTGTTACATGCTTGTCCAGGGAGTCTGAGTTTTTACTTACTAGTAACATTATGAGAGAAAGTGATTTTTTTATAGAGTGGTTACCGTAGTAGAGGAAGATGGGGGGGTATCTTTCCTTCATCACCACTACTTAATGACACCTGCCGCTCACTGTTTTCTTACAAGATACTAATTGTTGTCTGAACCCTGGAGTGTGTAACCTCATCTGCCTCCCTAGAAGATTGTCTCTTCTATTTTATGGACGTCAGTTGGAGAAACTGGCTGATCTGACATAGTTTGGACTTCTTCGGGATGACTTGTTACTGAATGTGCATATTTTACAATTTATGGATTTGTCCTTAAAGTAGCATATGTCCTTTCTTAAATCAAAAGCAGTTATATAGTGTAACTTCTATAATAGTAGTATTTAAAGGCAAGAGGGTCGTAGCTGATTTGTAAGATAAATGAACTAAGTAAGGAGCAAGTATTCAAGTATTTGAAGTGTTTATATGGACATTTGTTGTTGTTGTTGACATGTAATTGCTTGGAATAATTCTAAAATGTGCTTTTGTTTTATTAGGAGTTAGACCTTTTGCTTGTCCTCACTGTGATAAAAAATTCCGAACCTCAGGCCATAGGAAGACCCATGTAGCCTCCCACTTTAAACACACGGAGCTGAGGAAGATGAGGCACCAGCGCAAGCCTGCCAAGGTTCGAGTCGGCAAGAGCAGTGCTCCTGTCCCCGACATTCCTTTGCAAGAACCGATCCTTATAACTGACCTAGGTAAGATGGGCCCTGGAGAGCTGTGGCTGGTCATTCACTTCCCCTGGTCCTGTGAGGGCCAAGTGCATGGTGGATGCAGGAAGGCGCTGGCAGGCGCAGCACTGGCGAGGCCTTCATTAGGGTTACTTTGTTGGGGCAGCCAGGAGTAAAGTCCTGAAGCGCTGCTCGAATTGTGCCTTTTGTTTCAGACAAACAGGATAGCAGGAGAACAGCCCTCATTACAGGCGTGCTTCTGTCTCTGTGGGCCCGTCACGGTGAAGACGGATTTCTACTGTGGGACCCCAGTGCAAGTTGTTATTTGTATTCTTGAATTTCCGTGAGGTGTGATGGATCACCATTTTGCTTACTCTGTCTTTGCATTGGAAAGAAAAAGAAATTTCACCCTTATCTAAGTTTGTTTTACTGTTAGTGGTAGTATAATGAAGGTGTAATGTGATTTGATTAACAAGTGGCACATTCAATGTTGAGGATCTTCCTCCTACAGATACAGTACCATGCAGTTCTCCAGGGCCTCACTTTTCCCTCCTCCCTCCTCCCACCCTTCTTTTTCTTTTTAATCAGTTTCCTATGGGTGTGCAGTACATTGTGTTCCTAATTATGGCTCTTACATTGTTTTCCAATCCATAGTGAGCCCCTTCTACTTATGTCTTTATTCCCCTCGGACAGCATGCAGGGACTCATCTCTGCTGTTCATTTCTGTGTCCATAATTGCAACGGCCATGCCAACCCGGGAAGGTCGAGTTCACAGTGTTTCTTCCTATCCTCCAGCTCTTATCTCTCCACCCCCAACCACCCACACTCTTCCTTGATGTCTCTAGATCTTGGATGGGCTGTTGTAGATGTCTCAACTGTCAGTTAGTCTCAACATTTTGCCCAGTTATTAGTTAACCTTTGCAGGGTCTCTTATAAGGACATTAATTTCCTTCCTGAGGGCCCCACCCCAAAAACTAGTCACCTCATAGAGAGCTCCTTCCTCATCCCTGTCATGTTGTAGGCTAGATTTCAACATGGGACTTGTGTGGGGACGTAAGCATTTGAACTGTAGCATTCACTCAGTTTTACATTTTGTGGAGTCTCTGTATTACATAATTGTCCTTCTCAAGGTATTCTACCCTGAGCACAGTTAATACCATACTTTGACTTAGTATGGCCAGGGTTAAGGGGCATATGGAATTATATATTAGGTTGATATGAGTCATAATGTGAGATGGTCAGTACAGCCATGAACTTTTTCTTTTAGATTTATTATCTTAAAATTATATGTATGTGCGTATTTATCTTGTGGGATGCATATATATGAGTGCAGGTGCCCACTGAGGGCCTAGAGATGGAGTTACAAGTCATTATAAGACACCTGATGTAGGTGCTAGGAACTGAACTTGAGGTTTTTTTGTTTTTTTTTTGTTTGTTTGTTTTTTACAGCTACATTATGTACTTTTAACTGATGAGCCACCTCCTCTCTGAACCCTTTTGAATTTTCACATATCTTGATTATGACATAAAAATGTAGAGGCCAAACAGTTTGAGACATGTATCCTATATTATAGGCTGTGGATAACCTTGAACTTGTTATCCTTAATGCCTATACCTGAGTGCTGGGGTTGTATCATGCACAGTCATTCTCAGTTCACGGGGTGTGAGGGATTGAACCCAGGGCTGCGTGCCTGTTAAATGAGCACCCCACCGTCCACCTCCATCCAGTTCCCATAGAGGTACCCCTAAGAATATGCATAAAATAGCTGGTGGCTCGCGCCATTTATCCCAGCACTTGAGAGCAGAGGCAGGAAGATCTCTGAGTTCAAGGCCAGCCTGGTCTACAGAGTGAGTTCCAGGACAGCCAGGGCTACACAGAGAAACCCAGTGTCAGAAAACAAAACAAGAAAAGCATAAATTAGTTCACATTCTAAGGTATAGAAAAACTTGAGAAAATCCTAGTAGCTTGATGTGTAAGTTATATTTTTTTTATTGTATTTTCTTTTCCAAGACAGGGTTTCTCTGTGTTGAGCTCTGGCTGTCCTGGACTTGCTTTGTAGACCAGGCTGGCCTCGAAATCAAAACTCTCTGCCTGCCTCTGCCTCCTGAGTGCTGGGATTAAGACATGCACCACCATGCCTGGCTCATTTTTGACTATAGTTAAATGAAATTTTTTAGAAGAAAGACTTAAAACAGAAGTCATCTGTCACAATTAGAATAAAAATAGTGTGTGGGCTAAAGCTGTCCCCAGAAAATAAGGTTTTTGAGTACTTCTTATTAAAAAGTAAGAATGAAATAACTAGTATTTTTCTCCAAAGAAAATGATAAAATGAAAAAGTAGCAGAAAGTTACTAGTGTGTAAAATAAAGTTATTAGTGTGTAAGATAAAGTAGTGGTTTTATAAAACTTAAAAAAGTTAATAGTAAAATAGATATGACGTGTTCCCAATGAACTAACGAGAAACTGAGAAAACCTATAGGAAGTTAAAAAAAAAAAAAGCAATGAATACAAACTCAAATGAGACTGAAAAGTATTTGCAAATGTTCTATAACTAGTTGATAAAGCATTTGAAAATTTAGGTGAAATGGTTTTTTTCCTGGAGCGTATACTTACCAGAATTGATATTGGAAGAAATGAAGACTACACATAACAGACAGTTGGAGAACATCTCCAGCACACTAGTCTATTACGACTATATGAGTTCTGCTAGGCTTTGTGGGAGTGTAATTGTCCCAGTAGGCACTTCAATCTTTTCTCAGGATGGTTTAACTGGATTAAGCAATGTCGGGTTTCTTGACTTCAAGTTTGTGAATCTCTTATTGTACAGAACTTTCCTGAGGTTAAAGTGGAACATTTTGTTCTTTTTCTTCACAAAATTTTCCTTTAGGGTATATGGAAATACATGGGAAAACAGTTCTTAGTTACGGTGCTAACTGCAGAGTGTAGGCTGTTGTAATCATCTTTATTCTTCCTTGGTGGATATGTGCATGATAGCTCTTTGGAGGCTCTAGGGAGGCTGTGGAGTCAATTCTGATACAGTTCAGGGAGGATTTTGGAAGGGCATTGTTACAGTTATGGACCTGATTAGGAAGTAGATGGGCTATTTAGGTTAGCCGGTTACATTTAGCTTATCGGAATTTTTACTTTACGTAGTATCAGAGCACATTAACATACTGTAACAAATAATTTAATCTCTTATTAAGGACAGTTGTTTGTTGGTATAGAATCATATAGTCATATGTTTTTCAGAACTTTTAGAGCTGTGTAAGAACTTAGATACATCCCCCAACCTCTCAAAGCTGCCTTTCCTGTGTTGATAGACTGAAACACTGGGCATAGGGCAGTTGTTACCTTTGCTTTGGGTCATGTAGCTGCCTTCTCTAGAACCTGGAGAAGATTGTGATTTCTAGGCTGGACCAGTGTGTCACTAGAGTTTGTACCCTCTCTGTGTCCACTGCCTCTGGACCCGGGTTCTAAGGGCAGAGCGCTCTGAGCTTCACTTAGCTGAGCACTGCTTGGTCTCCAGCAGTTGGGCTCTCAGTCATACTTTAAGTGCATCTGCTCTGAAGGTCGGATCTAGGCTTTAAATAGAGCACTGGGTTGGGGTAATCTCAGTACAGCTTGAATAATTCCTACCCAAAGCAATTTGACACAAATGTCTTGAATTTCAGGTACTTTACACAGATGTAATAAAGTATGTGGGAGGGGAGGTTGGGACTCAAGTTTAAAGACAAATTTCATTTTTTTTTTAATGTTTACTGCATACACATTACGTGAAGATAATCTTATATAGTAATTTTAATATTGGTCATTTGACCGTGACCTGTCTGTCTCAAGAGAACAGGTATAGAATTTTCCACTTAAAATATCATTTTGGTTCTCAAAATGTCTTATGGAACATTTCATACTTCAGTTTAGGGATCCTCAACTTGTATCATTATCTACAGTTACAGCTTCCTTTTAAACTCTGTGTAGTATATAGACATAGGTGTCTGAAAATAAAACTTGCATCTCAGCATAAATATTTGGCTAATTGGCATGTCTACTATTTTTAAAATGTTTTAAAGTATTTAAAAATATTTTAAAATATCAGTGTTATTGTGTTTGGTCTTTCAAGTTTATGTTTGCTGTTTTAGCCATTGTTAAATGTACTAAACACATGTATATTATATATCACAGTTTATTATAGTGTATTATATGTGAGATGTCTGTTTTTTTCACATCCTGTCATTTTGCAGTTGTATTTTGCCTAAGCTCCATTTTTCTTTGCTATTATAGAAGAGATTTCAAGGAACTTAAAGTCACTTCTAGTTTGCTTTTGACTTATGCTGAGTCAAATTTATGTTTGCCTTTGTTTGAGATGAGTAGTTTCCTAAGGAGCCAGAAGTGGGACAGAAATGACCGAGAGAGCTAGCGTGTCAGGACTTGATGGGAGTTTTGTTTATCCTGTTTTTTTCTTTAAAGATTGAAAGCTTTTAATTTGCTTTGTTTTTATGACCCTGTCTGAACAAAATTAGCGGAGATAAAAATGAATATTGATTTCTTTAATGACTCAGAGGAAGGCCTTCCCCTTCCCTCAGAGAACTTAAGGGTCTTTTTTCACAAATCATGTACCTGGAAACCATTTCAGAAATTGTAATTGCATACAAGAGGGAAGACACTAAGGTGCAGAGTTCTTCATTTCAATATTGTTTATCCATTCAAAGTCCCTGAGAGCCCAGTCCCTGGCTACAGTAGACATCCGTGTTGACATATGAGGAAGATAATGCTACCTTTAAAGACTTGGAAAAGGTGTTAAGGGCTTGCATGGCTTAGGGAAACACGGGAGATGATTCCAGAACAAGGGAAATAACTTGGAAGGGTATTCAGGTTGGTATCATGTATAAACAGTGAGTTTTAGGGAAAAGAATTGGAACACAGCTTGCTCTTTTAGGGAAGGTCAGTAAAAATGGAATGTCTTAAAAGATGCCTGATTGCTCTGTAGAAGTTTTAGTGATACTACTGAGGGCAGAAGGAGGGTGGGAAATGGAGAGGTAGAGGGGAGAGTGTCAGCAAGTACTTGCTGCAGGAGGGAAGTCTAGTCTTCCCCTTGGTGTTGCAGACAACTATTCAGTTAGTGAATTCTGAGAATAGACTTTGTGCTGAATTGTGTAGATAGCCCAAAGACATTTCATTTTGTGTTTATAGATAAGCTCACTTAAGGAACTCCTTAATTTAATAAAGCCATGTAAATCCTGAAATCCGTATGTCAATAATATTTTTTAAAAGTTAGATTTGCTAGGTGTGGTGGCCTAATATAATCCCAGCTTTTGGGGAGGCAGAGGCAGGCAGATCTCTGTGAGTTCAAGGCCAGTCTGGTCTACAAAGCAATTCCAGGACAGCCAAGGCTACACAGAGAAACCCTGTCTCAAAAACAAAACAAAACAAAACAAACCACAAAACAAAATACAACAACAAAAAAACAAAGACAACCCTATCCCCAAAAAAACCCCAGCAAACAAAGAAACAAGATGTATTTATTTTACTTTATGTGCGTATTTTGCCTGCATCATATAAGTGTACATGTGTAGGTTGTTGACTCCAGAAACTAGGGGTAGGGATGCTTGTCAACCACCATGTGGGTGCTGGGAATTGAACTCAGGTCCTCTGCAAGAACAACAAAGGCTTTTTAATGCTCAGACATCTCTCTAGCCCCTAGACTAATTATCTTGCCCTTTGCAAATATCTTTTTAATTAAAAATAAAACCAAAAACTACAACAAGAAAAAACTTTGGGAAAAGTGCTGGCCTTTACAGAACAAAATGTCATGTTAGAAGTATTTATATTTTGAGCTTATTATTTTACTTATGGAATACTCATACTGCATATAGAGAGATTTAATATCCTGATGTATACATGTAAATCTCATGTCAGAACATGCTTATATTGAAATTAAATGTAAAAAGCCATTAAAAATGATTCTGAATCCAGGATATATTTATAACAATATACATACTCTTCATTGTCAGAAAATAATGATTGATAAACCTTTTGCCATAGGCATGGAAATGACTTGATTAAATGCATAGTAATTCATGATGTAATTAAATTAGTCTTTGTTGTGATACTGGGGTCTGTACTTCTCCGAATGTTTTTCTTTACCTTAAAGCACATGCCCTTGACATGCTAGTACTCCCACTAACCATGCATATCCTGCTTTTCATTTGGTTTGTAGGTCTTATCCAGCCCATTCCAAAAAACCAGTTTTTCCAAAATTATTTTAATAATAATTTTGGCAATGAAGCAGATAGACCATACAAGTGTTTTTACTGTCATCGAGCATATAAAAAGTCCTGCCATCTGAAACAACACATCAGGTAAGGTCTGGGGTTAGGTGGGAAAAATTGGTGCAAGTGCAGAGATTTAATCATCTGGTGACTTAGTGTTCAGGATGGTGTTGTTAGCTTATGAGTAAAGTATTTTATTTGACCAAAAATTTTGTGACATTTTTTATTCTTAAATATATTTACTCAAATATTTTAGTCAGACGTTGCCCGTGTTTTATTTATATTCCAGTTATATTGTACTGTTTGCAATTTCCAGCATGTATTAAAGGTTTGCTTGTTTTTATTTTAATTAGAACGTTTAACTCTCAGATGTTCTCACCAGAGCTTAATTTTTGGTGTTAACATCAGTGAAACAAGAGGTAGTATAGCATTCTGAAAATAGAGCTTCACCAAGATGTGAGTTTTCACTTCAGTGTGTGTAGCCTGGTGTCTCTGGGCAGGTCACTGCGATTTGCATATTACAGATTGTAGAGAGGGAGATCTTTTCCCCTTGCTTTACAAAGAGTATCACAGAGTGAAGTATCTCTGAGTTTACATTTGTTACAGTGTTACAAATGTGTAAAGAATGGATTAAGGTTTTCCCTGCTTTTTAGATCACATACGGGTGAAAAACCTTTCAAATGTTCTCAGTGTGGAAGAGGCTTCGTCTCTGCAGGAGTGCTCAAAGCCCACGTGCGCACGCACACTGGACTCAAGTCTTTCAAGTGTCTGATCTGTAATGGAGCCTTCACCACAGGCGGTAGCTTGCGGCGGCACATGGGCATACATAACGACCTCCGGCCCTACATGTGTCCCTATTGCCAGAAAACGTTTAAGACCTCACTGAACTGCAAGAAACACATGAAAACCCACAGGTAGGTGGGCTGCTGAGGTACCGGCTGCTGACGTGCCTGCCTTTTCATTGTCGTGTCCTTCTCTAATGTGGAGAGTATCGGGTTGAGAAATTTGACTGTGCTTAGGGACCTAATGAGAGCCATAGAAGACAGCATGAACTTATGTGTGTGTTTTTATTTTTATTTTTTTGAGCCAGGTATGATGGCTCATGCCTATAATCTAAGGACATGAGAGACTAAGGCAAAAGCACTTCTGTCAGTTCAAGGGCAGACTGGACTAGAGAGTAAGACCCTATCTCCAACAAATAAGGAAACCAAAACAACCCTAACACCCAACATACACACACACACACACACACACACACACACACACAAACACACACTTTTTTTTTCTATTTCTTCCTTCCTCCCTTCCTTCCTTTTTTTTTTTTTTTTTTTTTTTTATGAAAATAGGGCCTCACTATGTAGCTCAGGCTGGCTTCAAAGTCCCAGTTGATGAGGGTTACACATGTAGATGATGCCCTACTCAGCTAATGTTTTTAAGAGCTGATACTCAAAGGCTAGAGCGTTATAGTTAGGTGGGAAAGAGTTTTAAGAAAGTCTTAGTCAACCCGAAAGTGTTAGTCAGTCCTGTGATGTATAGGTTAAAGATGTTTTTTCGTGTGTGTGTGAGTGCTTGTAGGAGTTGGGTCCCTCTTTCCCCTATGTGGGCTCTGGGGTTTAAATTGAGATTGGCAGGATTGAAGGAGCAGAGCACTGACTTGTCCAGCCACCTCTCTGGCCTGATGGCTAGATTCTGTAAGTGAATTTTAGTGGTGTTCTGTTGTTGAATTATAGGCCGTAGGTCTCAGATACGCTGTAAACCTGTTACTCAGTGTAGCCTATGTTTTTCTGTGGTAAAACGCTAGCTCAGCAGTGGTGGGTAGAGCATGAAAGATGCTTCTGACTGGAACTGAGGCCAGCACTGCTACGAGGCCACAGTAGCAGTAGTGTTGTGTAGAGCGTCTTGGCTCATCTGAAGTGAGGGCTGGGCCCGCCATGGAAGGGCGTCAAACTCGCTGCCTGGAATACTGGCCTGTAGACAGGTAGCATTCAGCTCAGGTGCATCTGCTGCACACATCTACAGATGTAAACTCATGGTGGAACAAGCTGAGCATAGCAGACCCTTCTTGTTTTGTGGGCTCTTACTTGTTTTGTTTTGCTGTTTTTCTCACCTGTTGTCTAAACATATTTTACAGAATTGACTTGATTTTGAAATATTTAGCAAAGAAGTTAGCTGCTGCTGCAGACCACCAGACAGCATCTTATTGGTGGGGACATGTAGGAGACCTCACAGTCATGTGTCTGCTGTGCCACACTGCAGTTTGTGGAGGTGATTCTGAGCTATGGGGTGCTTGGGCCCATCAGTCCCTGTGAGCGAGAATGCGTAGTGCCCCATCCCACTCAGGTAGCAGGCTGGTGTCTCCCCTCCACAGGTTGGCTCCACAAGCTACAGAAAGGCCTGGAGCTTGGGAGTTTCGGGGCCCTGTGGCATGTTAAGTGCTTTTTGTGCCAGGAAGCCAGGCCTTTACCGTCTGTGAAGATGCTGAGAATACAAGGTTTAAGGCCCTCTGTGGATGGGCCTGATGCTTGGTGGCATGTTACTGGGTCTCCTGAACTAGCTCAGATATTTTTAGTGTCTGTTGGTCAGGGTGACATGAGGGTCACACAGCACTGTGTGGCTCTGTAGTGTGTCAGAGACTAAGCAGGCCATCACTCTGCACCGTAGGTGTTGGGCCTTCTGACAGATTTTGTATAGATTCCTCCAGGCCTGCAAGGAGAGATACATCCCATATTTCCTCCTTTGTCCATTTTGGAGGTTCCCAAAATTTAACACACATATATATTAAAAACACAAGAGAAAGCCCAAGTGGCTTCAACCCTGCATACAAACTATGGGCAATAAGGATTGCTGAGAGTCGTGGTCTCCCCTCAGGGAAGAACACACCAATTGGTGATTCAGTACCAAATGGTCGCCTTGAAGACATGCACATGAGGAACATTATTCAGACTGAGCAGGTTTTATGTATGTATTGAGGAATATGCACATATACATCTGTTAGGTAGCTACAATTAATTTTTCAAAAAGGCCATGAATTTGAGAGAGAGAACAAGGAGATAGGGAAGAAAAGGAAGAGGGAAATGATGTATATTCATAACCTCAAAAAATAAAAGGAATATCTTTAAAAATAGACAAACATGATAGAAATAAAATCATAAAAACAAAAACAAAACATGTAGGCAAGGAAGCAGAAGCTTCGTGTGAGATGGTCTCAGGAAAGACCAGACAGGTGGCCACTGCAGCACAGAAACTGTCGTAAAGAGTGAGGCGCTTTCTGCCTGCTTGATGTGTGTACTTTCTTTTGTCTGTTCTGTAGTAAAAGTAGTTGAGAATTGATTGTTGGTCGTCAGGAAATGAAGAGGCAAGACTTTGGAACTCAGTATGGGATATAGAGGAGGCAGATCCATTGGGATCCTGGAGTAGAACATACGTGTTACTGCTGTGGGCCTTAGCATGCACAAATGAGAGAGAACGGGGGACGCAGTACCCTAGAGTCTTTGCATGGTGGCCAGCCAGTTAATCAGATAATTGATGTAGTTGTTTTTAAGTCCTTGTGATTCTTTCACTAAATTTACTGTGCATCTTTCTCTTTGAAAGAGAAATTGGTGATCATGATGAATATTTACTGTGTATGTTTTATATACGTAGCTATCACTAAGAACATTAACATGAAAATCAAAATGGACACATGTTACACGTTCCGAAATATGATGATTAGCTGATTGTGTTAGTTGATTGTCTCCTAAAACGCCATTTAAAGGATAAACCCTTTATCTTCCTAGGCAGTTTCAGAGGCTTCATGGTGGTCTATAGGCACCTAAACTTAAACTGGGCTGAGGCTGCACAATTTAATGTGCAGCACAGTTTGATGGCAGGGGAGACACTGACAGAGTCTCTCATTCTTGGTATTCAGGAAGCTGAAAGGAAGGGTTAGGGGACAAGTGACAGTCAAAAGCATGCTCCCTGCAATGGGGACCCACTTCCTACTGTCCAACACCTCTTCCGAATATATTAGGAATTTATTAAGGGATTATTCTTTTGAGCAACTCAGACTGTCCTAATTTAGTCATTTCCTCAAGAGTCTCACTTTTGATCATTGCTGTATTGGAAACGAAGTCTTCAGCGTATGACTTGTGGGTGTGTACTTTATCGTGTCATACCACAAATACTGTTTGTGCTGGACTGAGAGCCAGACATGGCAAGATTGCTTTCTAAAGGAGTGTATTTTGAGACATCCTTTCGCTATGTAGTCACAGCTCTTCTGCTTCAGCCTCCTAAGAGCTGAGATTACAGGTGTGCATTAGTAGTCTGGTTTCTTAAACTTTGATTGTGGCATGTGTTGTCCTTCCTGTCTCTTCTTGCCTTCATGTCCTATGATTGCAAACAGCAGTTGAAGGCAGCAGGGTTTTCTTTAGGATTATAAAGTGGTTAACTTTTAGTTAGATTGACAGCATCACTTTGAAATGAAACATTTGAAGAATGAAAACACTGTTTTAGTGAATGGCATCTTTCGAGGTTGTGTCTGCTGCTGATAGTGTCTACCTTTATGAACTGTTGCTGCTTTTCCAAAGATATGAACTGGCCCAGCAGCTCCAGCAGCATCAAGAGTCTTCCTCCATGGATGACAGCACTGTGGACCAGCAAAGCATGGAAGTGTCAGCTCCCATGCCTGTGGAGATTGAAAGTGCAGAGCTGCAGCAGACACCAGAGACCGTGGCGGCAGACCCCGAGGCCATTCTAGAACTGGGGCCACAGCATGTGGTCGGCACAGAAGATGCAGCACTTGGACAGCAGTTGGCAGATCAGCCCTTGGAGGCTGATGAAGGTACTATTTCTGATGATCCCAGTGCAGCGTCTGTTGCCTCCTGCTTGGTGCTAGGGATAATATCCAGATCCTTGTGTAGGCTAAGCCCTTCGCCACTGAGCCAGACCAGCTGTCCAACTTGCCTTTTAAAATCACAATCTGTGCCAAGTGTGTGTGCATGCAGCTGTGGTTTTGGACCCTTAGTTCTGCCCTTACATTCTTTAGCCAAACAGCAGCTGCTCAGTTTAGTTGGCTTCCTTTAGGGAGTGCGTGAGTTTTGGTTTTTTGTTTGGTTTTTCTTGTGTGGACCAGGGTTGTTGTCTGTTTTAAATACAAAGCAATCTTGACTTCTTGTGGGCAATATTAGAATTATTTAAAATCTTAGGCCTACAGAAAAATCTGCTGGCCACATTTTGTTGTAAATCTTCCAATTTTTTCTAAGCAAATGCGTCTCCCGTGTGCTGTTGTACACATGTTGAATATATGATGGTTTTAGAAATAGGATCTTTATGCAATTTTTAGAAACTTATTTTGATATATTGTCAACATTTTTTTCCTTTTAGCTGTGCTCATCAAGGACTCCATGTATATTCTCAGACTGATGAGGCTAGTAATTGTTACTGGTCACAGTGGATGGGGTTCTTCATGAATATAAAGCAATATGTTGCTTTGTTTCATCAGCAATGTTGGTCAACAAAAAGTGCCAGCTCAGCTGCATCAGTGTGCTCATTTAATTGATGGTCTGCAGTCTTTTTTTAAATGTGCATTGGTGTTTTGCCTGCGTATGTGCCTTGGTGGAGTGTTCTTAACTTCTGAGCCATCTCTCCAGCCCCAAGCTTGTTAGCAGATAATTTGCTGGCCGATTTATGGTTTTGTTCTGTGGATGTCCAAAAATTTACTTAGCCTATGGGCACGATTGCACACGTTTTATCCCCTATGAAGCCCGAGTTTTACATAATTACTACATATAACTGCATTTCAGAGTATTGTTTTATATATAACACTTTAGATCAATGAACATTACCTTCTCTTGTCTTTTCAAAATGAGGAGGCTAGCTTTTGCAAACTCACTAGCATACTTTTGGATGGATCAGTAGATGGGAAATGAACTTTGACTGTGTGTGCTCCTTTCTCTTTGCCCCTAGATGGGTTTACAGCTCCCCAGGATCCTCTCCCAGGGCACATGGACCAGTTTGAGGAGCAGCCCACTCCACAGCAGTCCTTTGAGTCTGCAGGGCTTCCGCAAGGTCAGTACAGTTGCAAACCAGCTGACCTGTGCTGGATTTAGTTTGCAAAACTTAGGTGTTTCTTTGAGGGCTCTTGTAAAATTTACAGGTTTAACTTAATAATTGCATGCATTTATGATTTTTTGTATACAGTATTTATAACATCTCATATCTCCTAAAAAGTGACTTGTACAGCCACTCTATGAGGGGTCTCCGTCTCAGAGAAGGTAATAGGTTGAAATGAAAATTTGGTGGGAACTGTGTTCATGGCTGGAGTATAAAACCTGTGACTTGGACTGGGCACAGCCTGTTGCTTATGAGCAAACAACTCAGAGCTGCTAAAAACATCCTAATCTTGATTCTCATTCAGGAAGCAGAAGTTGCCTAAAGGTGTTTTCTTCGTAACTTTACCTTTTGTATGATCAGCATTTGTTGTGGAGCTCGTGTGCCTCATTTGTTTCAGGGTTCACAGTGGCCGACACGTACAACCAGCGGACTCCCTTCCCACCTGTGCAACAGCTGCAGGCTTCTAGCACACTTGAGTCCCAGGCCTTGTCCACGAGTTTCCACCAGCAAGACTTACTGCAGGTCCCAGGCTCTGACACCATCAACGTGGTGAGTGTGTGCACAAGGGCCGAGCAGCTCCTTGTTCACAGATGCCTCTGCATCTTCTGCTGAGGTAGCCCAGGTGCCCCTGCTTACCACAGCACACCGACATCTGGTGCACTGGGGCCGCAAACGGGATGCACCATGTGCAGTGCACAGGGCCACCTTTTTCTTAGAGCATCTTAACTTCACATGAGTAGCACCGTGGGCAGCCTTGCCATTTTGACTGAGAGCCAGAAACTCACAAGTGTGCTATGTAGGAAGTTGAATTAGCTAGTGTGTTCTTACAGGAATGTTGCTTTGGGCACAAGATGTGTTTTGTATCTGAAATCATAAATGTTAGAAGGAAAATAAAAATAATGTCAAATTAAAAACTACACAAAGCTTTATTATTCATTTCTTTAAATAATAGGTTTCTGGACAAATAATATTTTCATTCATAATTAATTTTTTTCTTACTCAGATTAGAGACACTGAAGTGTTTGGTTTTCTTTCCTTTTGCAAGTTTTAAAAATGACAGACAAGTCCATCTCTAGCAGTGTTAGTAGTGGGCATGTAACAGAGTCCTTGCTTTGAGGTGGGGCACATGGTTTCAGCAGGTGATAAGATGATGTGGAGAACATGCTGTGTGCTGGCTGAGCTTCACTGCACAGCCGTCTGAAGAGAACTCGCAGCAGGTTCAGTGCTGCTCTGCTGCGGTGGGCTGTGGTCCTTATGTCAGGAAAGGGGTCAGAGTAGCTGACTCTGAGGTACTGTCCCTGAGAGGTAGAGGTGGCTTTTCTTTCCCTAGGGCCCTTGTGACAAAGGAGAAGTCTTACTCTTTTCAGAACATAGTGTATTTATCCACACCAGTGTGTGACTTCCACTGCTGTGACAATATACCCAGGTAACGAACTTAAAAGCAGGAAAGGGCTATTTTGCTTCACAGTTTCAAAGATTTTAGTCCATGAATTGCTAGGCCTTTTGCTTTGGGTCCTTTGGCATGGCAGAACATTATCCTGGGCATATGTCATGTGCAGGAAGAAAATGCTTACCTTGTGGCATTTGGGGGAGGGAAGAAAGTTGAGGGTTCCAGTTCCCCCACAAGGGCATGCCCTCAATAATAGTGTTCTTCGGTAGTCCTCCCCTGAAGGTACTGCTATTCCCAATATGTCACAGAGTAGCAGCCAGTCTTTAAGAATATAGGGTGTTTCCGATCCAGTCATTCACAGGTAGTGGGGGCACGCTGATGAAAGAGTACTCATGTTTATTTATACTTTACACTACAGTGGTTTATTAGTCAGGCATGGAGGATGACAACTATAATCCCAGCACTTGGGAGACTGAGCGTGGCGGAGCTTGAGTGCGAGACAAGCTTAATCAACACAGCAAATTCCAGGCCAGCTTTGACTAACTGTACTTGGACGCTGTCTCAAACAACCTGTGAATAAATGGCTTAGTAGAAAATAAGTCCGTACTTAGTCATGTTTGTGTGAGTGAGTTAGACTTTCTCTGTTTCATATGATCACAGTGGGTTAACTCATGGTTTTTCTTTTAAGGCTGCATTATGAGCAGTTATATCTTTGCTATTATTGAGTTATCTTATACTTATTTATAGCTATTCATATATTCTTCCTGTGTATTTCTGACCATTTTAGGCAACTCGTTTGCTTCCAGAGTCATCTCAAGAGGATCTGGACCTACAAACACAGCGTCCACAGTTCCTGGAGGACAGCGAGGACCAGAGCAGGCGCTCTTACAGGTAATAACTGTACAGATCCAGCTCCTGAAGCTGAGTGCTGACTGCACACTTGCAGTGGGCGAGTGCTCTCTATCTCCTGCTTTCTCTGCTCATGAAATAGGTTTTGTTATCACTCCAATTTATGAGCACCCAGAAGGTTGTCCTTGTTATATAATGACTACACCAAATACTTTGTCTCCTGGAAAGTTAGCGCAATTTCAAAATAATACATGTAACAGTACAAGTATCCTATACAGAACCTGATGTAGTGAGTAATTGTCCTTGCCTCTCTGTTGTACTGCTTAATGTAATCCCTGAGTGTGGGACAGTGCAGTGGTTTCTCTAAAGCCTGACCACTTGCTGAGCATGCTGCAGCTGCTTTGCTCCCCTCTACTGCCGGGATCGGGCTGCTTGGTAATCAGCCCTGAGTGAGCAGCGGCTGAGCTCTCTGTGCTTCATTTCAGGTGTGACTATTGCAGCAAAGGCTTCAAGAAGTCCAGTCACTTGAAGCAGCATGTGCGCTCACACACGGGGGAGAAGCCCTACAAGTGCAAGCTCTGTGGGCGTGGTTTTGTCTCCTCTGGTGTCCTCAAGTCCCACGAGAAGACACACACAGGTTGCTGTTTGTTTTCTATAGAAATTATAATTTTTTTTTTTGTCTTTTCATGGTACAGCTTTCCTGAAGTAATCCACACGTTCAGTTCACTCCCTATACAATTCATGGTTTTTAGCATGTCTGTAGAGTTCTGAAAGCATCCATATGTAATCTTGGCATGTTTTTATTGCATAAAAAAATTCACTGCCTTTTATCTGTCACTCCTGTGTTCTCTTAATGTCCTCAACCCTACGTAATCCTTGACCTGCCTTGCCTCTGTCTTTGTGGATTGTGTGCTGTAGAATTGCCCACGAGTGGCTCATGTATGCTCTTCTGCTTAGTGCAGTGTGTTGTTCAAGGCTCACCTGCACTGTAGCATGTATTAGCACTGTGATCCTATTGTGGTCCGTAGTGTTTCATTGTACAGATAAACAGATAAACAAGTTTTTAATTTATTTGTTTATTAGCTCTGCTGTTTGACTTTGAATAATTCTCTATGGGTGTGGCTTTATCAACCAGGAACACAGTTGTTGGGCCATTATAATTACCTTTTAGGGTTGTGGATGACTGTGTGGGGATGGTGTTACTTAGCATGTGCAAAGCCCTGGGTTCCAAACACCAGAAAGGAAACACACTTTTAAACTTTCGAGTTCAGTCAAACTGTTTTTCAAGTAACCATGCCTATAGCACATGTATGTAGGTTCTGATCCTTCCTTATGTCTCTCATTACATGTCTTGTCTGTGTTTTGTTATCAGCGTACTTGGGTGGGCAGCAAACTCTCGTTGGGTTTTGATTTATGTATCTTGAGTGGTTTGTGGTGTTGAAGTTCTTCTGGTGTTCTTGTTGAGAATTGTCTGTTCTAACCATTTTTTCATTTTAAAGTTAGGTTATTTGTTTTATTATCATGAATTTGGTAAATCTTTTAAAAATATAGCATGACCATTCATGGCCATTGGATCTTTACCAGATATATGGTTTGTGATTAAATTATAGTTATGCGTTGAACGCATTCTGTTTAACATCAATATGTATTCTGTATAAGGCTTTATTTGAAAATGATGGTGTACAAAAGCCTATGGGTGTGTCTGTTGGTGATTAGGGAGTGGCGGTAAGGGCTGGTGAAAAGTTATGAGATTACTGGTACGCAGGAAGGAGGCAGGGCAAACAGCTTATTGAGGGAAGGCACAGTCAGGCTAGGTGCTTCTTTTGAGGCACTGTTCTGTCAGTCAGGGACTGTCACATTGAACGCCATCAGAAATGAGGCTGTAGGAAGGTTCCACAGTTCCCTCCTGGGTCCTACCTAACAAGCTTTTTGCTTTGGAGCGGCTCAAAGATAGAGCTACAGGAATATGTTGTTCTATCTACAAACAAGTTTACAGTTGGGATGTCAACGATGGGAACACCACAGTCCAGTTTGTTGTGAGCAGCTTCTTCTCAGGGCTGTTTATTTTAGTAGAGAGTATAATCAGACATGTGCTGTCAGTGTCTTATGTTTCCAGCGGTATCCAGGCTAAGTCTTAGGAACTGTAAGCTAGGTATACTCTACTGTTAGAAGTTGCTTGTCCTTGAGCGCCTATGCCGTCCCGGTGCTGGAGAATAACGCTTTCTCTGATGTGCTCTTGTCTGACACAGGAGTCAAAGCGTTCAGCTGCAGCATCTGCAATGCGTCTTTCACCACCAACGGGAGCCTCACACGGCACATGGCCACGCACATGAGCATGAAGCCTTACAAGTGTCCGTTCTGTGAAGAGGGCTTCCGCACTGCGATCCACTGTAGGAAGCACATGAAGAGACACCAGGCTGTCCCATCGGCAGCCTCTGCAGCTGCAGATGCAGAGGGAGGAGGTAGTTTCTGGTTTGCATTGAAATTTTTATGGCCAAATGTCAGTTTAGTTATAAATTACAAATTGATTTGGATATTGTAGTCTTACAAATTAAGCTTAGTAGCATGATATGTGCATGTCAGTGCATACGCCAAGGCACATGTGTGGAGGACAGAGGACAACTTTGTGGAACAGGCTCTCTCCTTCAACCTTCACATGAAAATTGAACATGGGCTGCCAGGCTGTACAGCAAGTATTTTTACCTGCATCTGAGAAGCCCCTGAATTAATATAACTGTAGTTTACACACACATGCGCACGTGCGCGCGCGCGCGCACACACACACACACACACACACACACACACACACACACACACACACTATGTAAGCCTCCAAGCGCTTTGCATTTTGGGAAAAAGTCCGGAGACTCCCAGTGAAAAAGTGTTCAGCTTTCCCAGTGTCCAGGCCCTAACTTGGCTTCCAGTTGAGCGTGTGCCGTTGCAGCTGTGCTCAGCCCTCGTGGCGCTCATGTCCCAGCTTATGCTGTGCTGTATGTCGTAATTCTTGTTGATAAGAAAGTGCAGATCTGCACTGGGCGCACATGTGCGGTTGTGTTTTATTCTTCATCAGATGCTTGCATGTAGTTTATTATGATGTGCTGCAAATGAATGCAGAGCTAATTTCTTATTTTCCCTGAAATTATAGAGCCACACTTATGAGAATCTCCCCCTGGCCAGAGGTACATTCAGTGTCATACTTCACTATTTCATTTTATTCACATGAGGCACTGTGTGATTTGAGAGACTAATCTCATTTTCTGCCCAGCATTACACAGTTAATTTGTCCAACTCTGGCACCCCGAGTTTATTGTTTTCATGCTTCTTCTGTTTACTGGATGGCTTCCTTTTAGTAAAGCCCACAAAGGAAGCTGGTGCATGTTGTTTCCACAGGTGGTACTAGCACCCAGCACTGTCATGTTAATGAGTGCAGTTCTCACACAGCCATGAAGTGTGTGTGTGTGTGTGTGTGTGTGTGTGTGTATCAGTTTTGCTTGTGTTGCAGCTGTGCTGTCACTGAACAGCAGTGCTCAGTGTCCTGTCTGTGCCATATAGGGCTTTTGGTCAGCCCTCTCAGGGATGAGATCTGCTGGAAAACTTTTGCCTTCTTCTCAACTGTGTGTCTGCCATTTGCTTGTAGTTGTCTACCCCAGAGGTTGCACACCAGGCCACAGGACCTCTCTGTGCTACACTAAGATGGGAATAGTGTAGCTTTGTCTCACAGTTTGAAAAGTGAGGCTTTCCAGTTTGCCTAGACCGCTTCAAATTACAAAAGCCTCAACTTGGGTGTTGCAGAGCAGTTATTTGGTCAGCATCTGTAGTGGACAGCTCTGAGGACCTGGGCTTCTGGGCTTCCAGATGTAGATGTGTTTGGTAGGACTTGGTTGGCCTTTGTCTCCAGGGTCACACTCTGCTGTGAGCTGTATGAATCATGACAAGCAAGTCAGCTCTCCTTCCTGTGGGGTAAAGACTAGTAGACGCCATACTTTACACCTCAGTAGTTTGCTAGTATAGCTTGGGTAGTGTCCGCTCATAGCTAATGTGATTAACGCCTGAGGCCAATCACAGTCCTTCTTAGCAGTCAGTGCTGAGTCAGTGCTTGGGCTGGCTTCTGCTCTTGGCGCTTTGTCATGCTGCACTGACATCTATAGACATACATGGTGCTGTGTCCTGTTTTCCTGCCTTGCATCTCTCAGCCAAAGGAGAAGAGTCACTGGTTGTTCTGTTTGTGATAAGGATTTTATTTCTTCATGCTTGGGATGTTTCACTGTTTGGCCTTACTTGAGCCATTTTCTATTTTTGCTATATACTTTGCTTAATTTTATTGTCTTTTTATGTTTCATGACTTGTTTTATATTGATCTCTATATATGTTGGTTACTGAAAATTTTCAATACAGTTCTCTCCATTTTTCACTGTCAGTGTGTGTGAGGGCCACTATCTATAGCTAACTCCTAAATGTTTCAGACCTTGTAAATATATTATGAAAGTTTTATTTGTGCCATTTTCCTTTTCTAGAACTTTTGTGAGTAGATACTGAATTTCCTAGCTTCATCTTTCATGACTGATCTCTCCCAATCCCTCCCTTCTTTCTGTCTGTCCCATCTTTTTTTTTTTTTTTTTTTTTTGCACATTATGTTCTAGAACATCAATCTGGTTGTTTTTCACACTTACTAACTGGAATTAACACTATTCACTTCCCTACTATCCCATCCCCTCCCCTATTGTTTTTTGAGATGGGGTTTCTCTGTGTAGCCTTGGCTGTCCTGGACTTGCTTTGTAGACCAGGCTGGCCTCGAACAGAGTGCTGGAAAACAGGCATGTGCCACGGAGTCCAGGTTCCCCTTTATGTTGGATTTGAGTGTTTCAGTCATGAGTCCCTTGCTACGCACGCACACGCGCATGCACACACCCTCGCTCTGCTGTTTGGAAGGGTACAGCCATGTGACCGGGAACCGTTGCTGTCCCATTGGCAGCTCTGTTACTGTCATTTCTGCAGTTGTTGAGAACCCTTTTTTTTTTTTGAGACAGGGTTTCTTGGCAGTACTGGAACTTACTCTATAGATCAGGCTGGCCCCTAACTCAGAGATCTGTCTGCCTTTGCCTCCCAAGTCTGGGATTAAAAGCATGCACCACCAGTGCCTACTATTCTTACATTTTCATTTCCTTTTGATCTTGTTCAAGCAGCTGAAATTTATAATGAGAGAATTCGTGTGTGTGTGTGTGTGTGTGTGTGTGTGTGTGTGTGTGTGTGTGTCTGAGTCTGAGTGTGTATGCGTGTGAGTGTCCTGTCTGTGGTCATTCTTTCTAATTGAGGGTTCTCTGTTTTGGTAAGTTGGCATCTGGTATTTGATCACGTGGTTTCATTTACCTAGTAATCAATTGGGCCGTAGTCAAGTGTGGATGTGCATGAGTCCCAGTGGCTGTGTGGGCTTGGATGGTTCTGAACTGCTGCTGGCCTGTCAAAAGCTGACTGTCAACCAGAGGGACTCCTTGGTGTGGCTTTCGCTTGTCTCCTTCTCCCTCATCAGGCAACTTCCCGTTACCCCAGTGGGGAAAGCAGCTGTTTGCTGTCTGAAATGTGGCTTAATTAAGTTACTAACTCCATTCTTTCATGCTTTGTCTTTTCTTCTGTTGAAACTCAGTATTCAGTGTTGATTCAGCCCTTTTTTCTATGCTTTTAACAGATACATGTGTAGAGGAAGAGGAAGAAAATTCTGACAGAAGTGCATCAAGAAAGCCTCGTCCTGAGGTCATTACTTTCACAGAGGAAGAGACAGCCCAGCTGGCCAAAATCCAGCCCCAGGAGAGTGCTACGGTATCTGAAAAGGTCTTGGTGCAGTCAGCTGCAGAGAAGGACCGCATCAGTGAGATGAAGGACAAGCAGGCAGAGCTGGAGGCTGAGCCCAAGCATGCCAACTGCTGCACATACTGTCCGAAGAGTTTCAAGAAGCCCAGCGACTTGGTGAGGTGCGGACGCCAGTGCTTCCACAGACCTGAATGTGTGCAGGTGCTTTTCCCCAGTGTGGGAAGTCACCTGCGGAGCATGCGGGCCTGAGCCTTCATTATTTGGGTAGTAAGTCACGTGGAACAGTCATGAAGAGCTCTGTTGCCTCTGCATTTTTCTGTGTGGTTGTGATAGAAGCAGAAAATGAGCCACCTTAATTGAGGAGCACAGAGCGCTGGCTGGGCTATATAGGTCTAGAAGACTGGCAGATCTCTTCTTACAGAGGGCTCGTGGTCAGAGTGAGAGCGCAGAGCACCAGGTGTCAGACCAGCAGCTGATGTGCAGGATAGAGTGTAGCAACATACTGCAGAGCCTGGGACCTTCTCCTAGTTCCAGTTTTATTGCTATGAAGAAACACTATAACCACAGCACTCTTACAGAGGACAACATTTAATTGGGGCTGGCTTATAGTTTTAGAGGTTTAGACCATTATCATGGCAAGAAGCATGGCAGTGTGGTGCTGGAGAAGGAGCTAAGAGTTCCACATCAAGATTGGCAAGGAGCAGGAACTGAACAGGCTTGAGCTTCTGAGATCTCAAAGCCTGCCCCAACAGTGACACACTTCCTCCAACAAAACCACACCTACTTCAACAAGGCCACACCTCCTAATGGTGCCATGCCCTTTGGGCCTAGCATTCACACATTCCTATTCAAACCACCATAGACCCTAAGCTTGGAGAAGGTGGAGGAGCCCTGGGGCCATGTAGAATGGGAAGCTGCAAGCAAGCCGGAAGCAGCAAGCAAGTCGGAAGCAGACCTGACCTCCAGTTTTCGGTCAGGACACTAAGCTCAGTTCTGGGAGCTACTGCCGCCAGCAGGTGAGGCTTGTAGAGAGCCTCAGTAACCAGCACAGCCATAGACTTCTGACAGCACGTCATGTGTGCTTGCACACTTGTGTTACGCAGTGACGTGTCAGGGCTTCCTTTGGCCAGACTAATAGAAATAGGAGCAGACTGCTTTTTATTTTTATGATTTTAAATTGATGAAGTTATTTGTAAATGTACATGTAGTTAAAAAATAAAATCCCTTAATTAGAAATGCTTTTTTAACAGGCATGTTAGAATCCACACTGGAGAAAAGCCGTATAAGTGTGAGGAGTGTGGGAAGAGCTTCACTGTTAAGTCCACACTAGACTGCCACGTGAAGACTCACACAGGTAAGGAGTGACCCTGGCGATTGCTTGGGGATGTCTGCGTACTTTGTACACAGATGCTTCAATAGTGTAGAGAACTCAGAATCAGGAACCGTGAAGAAATAGCTACAAAGGCTTTGTTATTTCTAATATAAAGAAAATGGTTTAGCTCTAAAAGGGGGAGAGGTAAAAATCTCAAAAACTGAGTTACAAATTACACATGCTCTTTCTCAGCTTACTCCTCCTCTTTCACAAGGTTTGTTTAGTCTCCTTTGGGCCAGAGAGAGGCAGTTTGCTGGTATTTCTGATTCTGTTGACAGTCACCAGGTTATACTGTCTTTTTATGTGAGGAGAAAGATCTCATCAAGTGGAACATGGTATCTTATTTCCTGAGCCTTTTTCTTCATCTGATTTGAGAATCTGAAAATCAGTTTTATTAAAAAAAAAAAAAAATGAAGAAGAAAGTACAGACCTTTGTTCTTTGAGTCCTGCAGCTCCTTTTGTGTGGCGTGAGGCTAGTGGCAGCACAGCCGTCTACTAAGACATGACTAGCTACCCAGGAGTGTGTAGCATGTTGGAACATAGGAACACTATAGTGCTCGATAGCTGTCATTGATAGGCTCCACTTGGTAGCATCGTCACATTAGCCATATTCCCAAATTTTTGGTCATGATATTGAACAAATAACTACAGGTGGAATTTCAGACATTTCTGTAAAGCTCTCATTCTTTCCTGATGGATTATTATTGGCAACTAAACATGGATTAGCTCACATTGTCATGTGTAGTCGTCTCGCTGCTTCATCAGGTTCCCAGTGTCTCTATCTCTTACGTTGTACTGTGAACTTGCTGAGGGTGGATGGCCTAGCTTGGGAGACCCATGTCCTATACACTGTAACACTGTGGACTTTCCGCCTCAGCTCTGAATAATGACACAGACACTTATATTTATTTATAATAGCTTTAGGCCTTGGCTTGCTGTTGGTCTATGTTTTATGTGTGTTGTATGTATGGTCTAGCTCTTCTGGTCTATGTTTTATGTATGTTCTGCTACATGCTTGTTAACCCCTCCTCATATGCCCGACTTGCTCCATGTCTTGTAGTTGAATCTTTTCATGCCTTTCTTTCCCAGAGTTTCTATCTCTCTGGAAGTCCTGCCTATTTTCTCTGTCCTTTGCTATCAGCCACTGGGCTCTTTATTCATCCATCAAAAGGTGGTAGAGAAAGTGTTTCCAAAACATTGAGACAGGTGATGCTTGACAATGCCAAAGCTAGGTCTGTTCTCAGCTGGTGGAGAAGTTGGCATTTGAGTATACAAAGACAACCTTTACACCGTGACAAAAGCATCCCTCCAACACTGCCCACAATCTAGGTGCCTGGTGCGGCCCTTGAGGTCAGCCTAGTTCCAGGCTCTGTTGCGGTGGGAGTTCAGCTCAGACTACCTAGGGAAGAAGAGGTGTTTTTCCGCCTTGGAGACCCCAGAGCAATATAGGATCACGGATTTACTAAAGCCTCTGTGAGTCTGCCTGAACATCGTGGAAGCAAGCGGTGTCTGATTCTGAGTTCTTCCAGACGGGAGGCAATAGGCACATAACACTGGACACAGGGCCTGTGGCATCACGATGTTCCCTGTGCACAGTCTTCCAAGTGGAATGTGGTGATTTCTGGGGACAGAGCCTCAGAGGGGTGTGAGAACATTAACCTGAGATTGTAGACAGATACCTGCTGTCCTAGCATCCATTGAGAGCCTAAAGCACAGAGGGCCATAAGCCAGCACAGTTTGTCCATACTGCCTGCTGGAGGGTGTCTGTGGCCCAGCTCGCCACTCCCTCCTGCTGATTCCTCCTGGTGTTCTTGTAGGCCAGAAGCTGTTCAGCTGTCATGTCTGCAGCAATGCCTTCTCCACAAAAGGAAGTCTGAAGGTGCATATGCGCCTGCACACAGGGGCAAAGCCGTTCAAGTGCCCTCACTGTGAGCTGCGCTTCCGTACTTCAGGGCGGAGGAAGACTCATATGCAGTTTCATTACAAATCAGACACCAAGAAGGCCAGGAAGCCTGTGACACGAAGCTCATCAGAAAGTCTCCAGTCTGTGAACCTCCTCAACTCCTCTTCCACGGACCCCAATGTGTTCATCATGAACAACCCCGTTCTCACAGGGCAGTTTGATCAGAATGTGCTTCAGCAGGGGCTGGTGGGTCAGGCCATCCTTCCCGCCTCCGTTTCAGGTAGGAAGCCAATATGTGTCCCTCTCATCCCCTCCCACAGCCAGCAGTCTTTTGAGCCTTTCCCAATAAGGCAGTAGGGGAAGTTGAGTTCCCATTTCTTCTCCCCCTGTATCTGCTTTATCACTTGAGGACTTTGAATGAGTTTCCCAGTTAGTGTTAGGTGATTAGTAGAACTCACCTGTAACCTAGTGGGGCTGGCCTGTTGTCCTTGGTCACATGATGCTGAAAAAGTACTAGGTTTACACCAGTTGCATTTGTGTACTTAAAAGCAAATGCCACAGCTCTTGCAGCTATTTGACATCCCATGGTTTTTCCTTCTGCATCTCTTCACGTGGGCCATGCAAGAGCCAGGCTGCCACGCAGTGGTTGCTGTCACACTAACCTGTGGACTAATCAGTCATCTATTTTAGTGTGTTTCTTTTAGATTTAAAGCATTTGCAGCATTAAGTCCTTCCGTTTCTCATTCTCTGACCAGCTGGTGGGGACTTGACAGTGTCTTTGACTGATGGGAGTCTGGCTACCCTGGAAGGCATCCAGTTACAGCTGGCTGCTAACTTGGTTGGACAAAATGTTCAGATTTCTGGACTTGATGCATCCAGCATCAACAATATCACACTGCAGGTATGGCGACTACCATGGTTTCCTATGCTTTAATGCAGGCTAAATGACACGGAAGCACAAAGGTTTCACTGCAAGTATCTGTTGCTTTACAGATTGATCCGAGCATTTTGCAGCAAACACTACAACAGGGCAACCTGCTTGCTCAGCCAGTCACAGGGGAGCCTGGCACGGCCTCACAGAACAATTCTCTTCAGACATCAGACAGCACGGTCCCAGCCAGTGTTGTCATCCAGCCCATCTCAGGCCTGTCCTTACAGCCCACAGTGACGTCTGCCAATCTGACCATTGGCCCACTCTCTGAACAGGACTCTGTGCTGACAACCAGCAGCAGTGGTAAGAGCCCATTGCTCTTTTACTGTAGAAGCTGTAGTTTCTTGTTATTGATATGGGAGACACATTTGGTTTTAGGCCAGTATAATGACATTTTTCATGTCTTTGTAAAGCTTACCAATAAAATAAAAACTCGGAAGTTTTCTTAGTTTCATTGGTGTTCATTCAGTATAAGTTCATTTTATTGCTCATGGAATTTTGCTTCTCAACCTGGCTTTTTCTTTCATCATTTCACTTACCTCCTCTTTCTTTCTCACTCACTTTCTCTTTCTTTTTTTTTTTTTCCCCCTTTTTGTGCACTGGGGAATCAGAGGTAGGGCCTTGTGAACTCTAGGGTGCTTTATCCTTTCAGATAAAGTAATAAGAACTGATTGATAATTTATCCTGTGTCTTTGTCTTTTAAAAATAATCCTTTAATTAAGTCCTTTTCACATGAACCAGGAGAAATGTGTCTGTTAGATCTCAGTGTCATTTGTTTTGTGATGATGAACAGGGACCCAGGACCTCACTCAAGTGATGACCTCACAAGGCCTCGTGTCTACTTCGACGGGCCCCCACGAGATCACCCTGACCATCAACAACTCAAGTCTCAGCCAGGTTCTTGCACAGGCCGCTGGTCCCACTGCCTCTTCGTCCTCGGGCTCGCCACAGGAGATTACGCTAACAATCTCTGGTTAGTAAATGCACACTGTAGAGACTGGATTCCGATGTAAGGCCATCTTGTTTGTGTCTTTTTCAGCACTCAGTTTTGCATAAAGACATCGCATTTCATTTATGTGGCAGGTTCAGATCTAGTGATATCTAGTATCAGAACAAAACACCGTTGGTTTCTTACATCACTTCCTAGTTCTGTAGAGTTGATTGTGTGTTCAAGTTTAGAGTTGGCTACTTTTGCCATATATTTTTGGCTTAGCAAAGAGCAGAGCATGTATCTTCCTGATTCTTGTTCCTGTTCTGTACACTAAAGAAGCATCACTCACCAGAGCTGTGCACAGTGAGAAATTGTAAAAGCGCCTCCATGGTGTCACCTGTTCTTGTATCCTTAGAACACTACTAAGCTTTGGTAGAAAGTTTCAAATATGTTAGAACATTGAAAATTTGATAAATTTTCCAAAGGTGGAAAATACTGTCAGCAGTAAAGCGCACATGACATTAACCAGTTACCCGAACATTAGTCACTGGCTTAAGGTGTCACTCCCTCCTTGCTGTACCTGTCTGTTCTTCGGGCGGGCTTACTCTCATGGTGTGCTGTGGCCTGTGTAGCCTGGGGCTAGTATGCTTTGTCCATGTGATTTCCTTGCTCTGCACTCTTCAATCCCTTCATGTAAACAAATCTTTAAACCAAACCAAAAAGCTAGGGTTTCATGTAGCCCAGGTCTGTCTCAATCACTGTGTAGCCAGGAATGATGTTGAAGCTCTGATGATCCTTCTTTTGCTCCCCGTGCTGAGAGTGTAGGCATGTACCACTCTGCCCCATATTAGTCTTTTTGTTGTTGATGTGATAGCACACTGGGACCAAGGCAGGTGAGGCTGTAAACCTTCAAAGCCTACCCCAGTGATCTGCTTTCTCCTGCAAGGCTGCTCCCTGTAAAGGCTCTACAGCCTTTTCAGACAGCATGTCTCCTGGGGAATAAGTACTGGAACACTCGAGCCTACTGGAGCCATTTCTTGTTCAAAGCACCACCTCCAGTAAGTGCACTGCGAGGGAACCAGCCGCAGGGTGTTGTGCGTGCTGGACAGCCAGATGTTACCACAACCACCTTACAGTCCTGTAGTTAAAAACAAGAGCATTCTTACCTGAAACACTACTTACTTCTGGGAGGATCTACTATGAAGGAGGAAAGCGTCCAAGTTTTCTTTTGAACATATGAAAGAATTGCAACTACAAGGGCAGTCCAAGATTGTGTTTTTATAAGTGTCAATGGGATTTCCACAAAAATTAAGAGTGGAACTGAAATGAAAGTTACAAAGCAGGAAATTAAAAAGTAAAAGTTTTGTTTTTCAGGAGGGTCTTCCTTCTGTATATAGATACACTTTTGAAGGACGTGCTATAAGTTTTACCTGCTGCAGGACAACACACATTAATACTGGCTTTTGAATGATTCAGTAACCCTTCTTTGATTATACATATTGAATTTTAATTTTAGAAATATAAAAGGGTATTTTAGCTGTTTTTTTTTAACCTTTTTTTTTTTTTTAGTATTCTCAGTGTTGGATATGTGCTAGCTTTTATAAAAAACATATGCAGAATGCTTGTTCTACCTTAGAAATCAAGTTCTTTGCTATTGAATTTCCTGTTATTCTCTAATTGGCCATGTTCTTAACACTGTTGCTTATGGATATAGTAAAAATGTAGCCATTTATAACATTAAATATTAATTTTACTTGAAAGGTTTGTTGTGTCAGACAGTTTCTGGCCAGTTACTCAGAGCTTTCTGTGCCACTTGTTGAATGCATCTTGATGCCATCTGCAAATTGTTCCTTGCTTTGTATCATGCATAGTACGATATACTGTGAACAGAAGTGTTATTTAAGTTGTGCAGATTTATAGGTGTCTATAAGACCTAGCATTTGGAGACAAAAACTAAAACACTGTATAAAATATAAAGATCATCCTTCACCTCCCCAAACTGGACTTGTGCATACACAGCAGGTGGCTGTGACTGGGTGTTTGTAGCCAGTTATTAATAAAAAGACCTGTCAAGTAAGAATCCGTGACGTGACACCGGAATATTCGGAGCATTCTTGCTGGGGTCTGTTAATAACTGACCTGCTCTGCCAATAACAGCAGTGCTCTCTCTTTGTTTTGCCTCTGCTCATGTTTATGATGCCTAGCTGCACTTCCTATCTTGTCTGGAGTATGTAGGGAGTAGGTCACAGTTCAGAACTGCACTATAGCATCTTCATCCTCTGATACTCACTTAGATCTTAATCTCACTCACTCCTAATATTACAACAGAGTTTCCAAGCCATCTTGCCATTTTCAAGTTTTCCAAAGCACTTGTATGGCTTTCATCAAAGCTTGAGTATGTTTTCATTGTGTTGTACATTTAGGTACAGTAGGCAGTAGAGCTGCCCAAGCAGGTTTTGAACCAATAGCAGACGTTTCTCATAGGAATATGTCAGCAGCATGCTAATGCTGCATTCATGCCTGCTGGTGAGCAGTGGCAGGATGCTGGTGGGAAGCTGTCAGAACAGGGATGCTCTGTGTTGCCTGAGTCTGGAAGCTTGCTTGTTCCTGTCACCAGTGAGCAGTCTGTAAGTGGCTCTTCATGGAGCGTTGTTGTATCAGACCAGGCAGGCACGCCATGAGGGGTTTAGCTATGACAGACATATGTAGGTAAAGAGCTAGCTAGCATTTAATTAATTAATTAGTTAATTAATTAAGGTATTAGACTGCCTTTTAGGTCTGGGCATTGTGGCATATGCCTGTAATTCTAGTAGTACTCTGGAGGCTTGGTATAGAGATGAACTATGTCAGAAACAGGTAAACATGTTTTTGCTTTTTTCTTTCCACAGAAACTTTTTTGTTTGTTTGTTTTTGTTTTTGAGACAGGGTTTCTCTGTGTAGCCCTAGCTGCTGAGAACTTGCTCTGTAGACAAAGCTGGTTTGTAACTCAGAGATCCACCTGCCTCTGCTCCAGACTGTTGGGATTAAAGTCGTGCACTACCTCTGCCCAGCTATTTCAGAATTTTAAAAATAACAACAAATACATAAGGTTTGCCCATTTCTATGACAGCACTTCAGTGTATAGTCCTGCCTACCCTGGTCACCTGGATTAGATGAGTGTAGGTTGATAGTGAAGTTGTTCCAGATGTGAGGTAAAATGCTGAACCAGGTTTTGAGAACAGAAAACAGTGAGTTCACATCCAGATTGTTAAACAGATGAACAGGCAGGTGGTTGAATAAGCCAACTTCAGCAGTGGGGTACTGTCTTAGAGTATTGCTGTGATGAAACACCATGATCAAATTTGGCACCTTGGTGAGGAAAGGGTTTATTTGGCTTACACTTCCACACCATAGTTCATTATCAAAGGAAGTCAGGGAAAGAACTTAAATGGCAGAAACCTGAAGACAGGAGCTGAAGCAGAGGCCATGGAGGGGTGCTGCTTACTGGCTTGCTCCCCATGCCTTGCTCAGCCTGCTTTCCTCTAGAACCCAGGATAGCAGCCCAGGAATGGCACCACCCACAATGGGCTGCCCCCACATCAATCTTTAATTAAGAAAAGTGCCCCACAAGCTTGCCTATTAGTTGGGTCCTATTGAGGCATTTTCTCTATTGAGGCTTGCTCCTCTCAAATGACTCTAGTTGTGTCGAGTTGACATAAAACTATCTAAAACAGGTACCAAGCCAACCTGAAAGTACATAGACAGTTGGAGAGTCCTCTGCTTATTGATCCTTGACATATACACCAACTGTCAGGTGATAAGTGTGTTGGTGAGCTGAAGTGGATTCTGGGAAGTCTGTGCTATAGTTTTGATTAGCTCTGTTGGCTTTTGCTGACCTGAGGAAGACTCTGGCTGAAGGCATAGGCATGGCTACACAGGATTTCAAGAGGAACTCTCACCTGCTTTCTGTGTCTCTCATGGTCAAAAGAATGCTGAGAGCCTTGCCTGGATTGCCAGATGCGAGTTTCCAAAAGCAGAGCTTGGGGAAGGGCCTTGGTCGTTCACTCTGATTCCTTGGTTCTGCCCTGCTCATCGGCTTGGTTTTAAAGTTCTAAAAAGCAGTATCATAGAACTTAATTCTTTTACTTATTGATTTGAAATGGAAAATTGTGTTTTGTTTTGCTTGCCTCCCTTCAATTTAGGGGAATTTTGTTCATTATATTCAATTTGTATATTCAGTTTTGTTCATTGTAGTCAATTTTCTTCATATATTCAGTTGACTACAGTCTAGACTTTCAGGTTATAGCTTAATCTGTAATGGGTAATATGGTCACCATTCACTGTCTATTACTAAAGACAGGACCCTTTCCTCGGTGACCTAAATGTCAGTGTGTGTGTGTATGTGTATTAAAGGCAAGCAGCACACTTTCCTCTGTGACCTTCTAAATGTCAATGAGAGAGAGAGTGTGTGTGTGTCATTGTGCATTACTAAAAGCATGCAACATGCTTTTCTCTGTAATCTTTCTCTTAAAGTCAGTGTATGTTCGTATATGTGTGTGCTTGTGTGTGTGGGTGTGCATGTGTGTATTTAAAAAAAAAACCAAGTGTATTCTTGCTTATCTCTATAAGTCTAACCATATTTGCTATCTTTACTACTCTGTATGGTTCAAAGATGTGCTCCTTGTATGGGGGACTCAGAGAGTAGGTCCTTGGGGCTCTGTGCCCTCCCTCCCAACCCCAAGGTTGATTCAGCAAGGATTACACTGGCTATCCACAGTGAAATGCTATGTTTTTGTCTGACTTGTTTATTGCTGCTGTGAGAAAACACTGCCCAGAAGACAGCTAAGCTAGGCAGTGGAAAAGTTTGACTTATGCTTCCGGGTGACAGCCCATCATAGAGGGAAGTCAGCTCAGGAACTGAAGCTGAAGCAGAGGCCTTGGAGGAGAGCTACCTGCTGTCTTGCCCCTAACTAATGAGCTAATAATGTCTTCACTATAGTGCAGGCACATGTCTCTAGGGATTGTCCTTCCCCACAGTGGGCTAGGCTCTCCTACATCAGTCA